GAAATCCACTGACAGTCTGATGGGGACTGCTTTGTAGGTGACTGTCCTCTTAGCTCTTGCTGCTTCTAGGATTCTCTCCTTCATTTGAATCTTGGCTAATGTAATTATGATGTGCCTTGGTGTGTTCCTTCTTGGGCCCAACTTCTTTGGGACTCTCTGAGCTTCCTGGATTTCCTGGAAGTCTATTTCCTTTGCCAGATTGGGGAAGTTCTCCTTTATTATTTGTTCAAATAAGATTTCCACTGGTGGCTGTGCCTTTCCCCCTTCTGGTACCCCTATGATTCGGATGTTGGAGCATTTAAGATGTCCTGGAGGTTCCTAAGACTCTCATTTCTTTGAATGCTTGCTTCTTGACTCTTTTCTGTTTGGCCATTATTTGCTTTCTTCTGGTCCACTTCATTGATCTGAGTCCCAGTTTCCTTTTCATTGCTATTGGTGTCCTATGTGATTCCATTCATTTCAATAGTTTCGCCTTCATATATTTGTCTAATTTGTGGCTATAATCAACCAGTTCTGTGAGGATCCTGATCACCAGTGTTTTAAACTGTGCATCTGAGAGTTTTGCTATTTCTTCATCACTTAAATTTATAGGCTCTGGGGCTTTGAGATCTTCTTGAGCCATTTTTGGTCTGTTCGTGCCCTTTAAGTGTGAGGAGCGGAGCCTTGGACTCCCAGGTCAATGGGTTGTGACGCTGCATGTGGGGGCGTGGTCAGAGCGGGGAAATGGCGGCGCCCTCTGCTGTTTCACACGGCTGGGTGAGGAGCAGCGCGTTAGGTGGTTCACCTGGGCCGGGCCACTCAGAGTCGCTGGGTTATGACGCTGTATGTGGAGGTGGAGTCAGAGCGGGGAAATGGCGGCCCCCTCTGCTGTTTTGCGCCGCTGGGTGAGGAGCAGAGGCTTAGGTGGTTCACCTGGGCCGGGCCACTCAAGTCGCTGGGTTATGACGCTGTATGTGGAGGTGGAGTCAGAGCAGGGAAATGGCGGCGCCCTCCCTGCCGCTTGCCGTGGGACCGCTGGGTCCCGGTCCAATCGCCCACTCCCTCACTTGTCTATCCGAGCACAAATGCGCCACCACAGTCAACCAGCAGCCCTGCTCCCTTGCTGTTTCCCCTCGGTCGGTCGCCTGGTCGCTCGCTCGGTCCAACCCTGCGCCTGGATTCCACGCACCTGAGTCCGTCCGACCGAGTTTTCCTGTGCAACCCCGCTCCACCAGCTGCTGGTTTCGCCCCTTACCGGTCAGGCTAAAGAATTTGTTGTTAACAGACTTTCGAAGAGTTCAATTTTCTGTGTTCTGGCTGTGTTTTCTGTTGCTAATATTTAGTTGTCTCTAAACTTGGTTGTGTGAGAAAGCACGGCATCTCCACCTATGCCTCCATCTTGGCGGAAGTTCAAAACTAAGTCTATAATATAGAAACTTCATTGTTTATTCTTTCACACATTGTAAAAAAAAAACCCAACACGGGAAAGATGTGTGCTGACTTCAGTGGAGGGAAGAACGGAGGGTGGGGCTCGCCTGTATCGATTTTATTTCTTCAAAAAGAGGGAGAACTGACCCAAAGGAGGCAAAGTGTTAACATCTAGCTACACAGGTATCTATCGCTTTTCCTTTTTTAGAGGTCAAATGGTTTTATAAAATGCTTTACAAACAAATCACATAACTTTTGATACTAATAAGGGCTATGGAGGCAAAAAAAAAAAAAAAGCAGAGGATGAAGTGTGTGTGCGTTGGGGGCCAGAGGAGGGCAGCTGCCCCAGTGTGGGCGCCGGGGAGGGCTCTGTGGAGGAGGAGCCACGCCAGCACCCCGGGACGGCAAGGCAGGCTGGGTACGCTGCGAGAAGGGCTCTCCAGGCTGAGTTTGCTGGATGAAAACAGGCTTCGGGGCTGGAGCCAGGGCCAGTGGGAGTGGAGACAGCAGGGGCAGGCAGAGGCCTTAGGGCCCAGGTGAGGGAGTGTGGGGTTCATTCTGAGCACAGAAGGGCCGGAAGCAAGACTGTAACATGACCTTAAAAAAAACTCACTTGCTGCCACTGGAAACAGAATGCAGTAGGACAGGTGAAGAGCATTAGGAAAATAGCACACATTTCTATGTAAGAGAAGAGAGGGGCCAGGCCTAGAGGTCTCAGTGGAGGCCGTTAAAAGCACTTAGATTAAGCCCTGCCTTGGGAGTAGTTAGCCAGCAGATAGCGGAAAGCTGGCTGGGGGAGGGGTGGAGAAGACTGGGATCAAGGCTGTGCCTAAGCTGGCAGCTTGTGCCAGCACCTGGTTGGTGGTGCCATGGGGCTGCACAGACGGAGCGGAGCCGGTCTGGGCACGCTCAGCGCTGCTGCCTGACTCAGTCTTGGGCCACGCCGGCTGCCGGCCAGAGCGACTCACCGAGGAGTCAGGCAGACAGCATGTGTCCCGAGTTTTTCGGTGTTGGCATTCTTTCGGTCTCGTCACTTTGTTAGAATTACCCCAGAATTTACTGGGAGATTCTAATCTGAAATTCAGGGAATTTATCCTAAGCAAACTGTTTTTTTAAAATATGCACAAAGATGTTCATCACAGTATTCTAAAAATTGAAAATGACGTGGAAACGAAAGAACAAAATGTAGCAAAACTATTCAGTGAACTGTTTTATAGCCATTAAGATGTCATATGTGTGTCTGTGTGTGCCTCTGTGTGACCGTGTGCATGCACACCCACACCTCCTGTCCTGTGCGCAGGTCCTTCGGGGTGCTGCTGTGGGAGATATTCTCCCTTGGATACATGCCGTACCCGAGCAAAAGCAACCAGGAAGTTCTGGAGTTCGTCACCAGCGGAGGACGGATGGACCCACCTAAGAACTGCCCTGGGCCTGTGTACGACCGTTTTGGGAACATTTTTAGAAATTACTAAGCACAGTTCTCCTTTTCAAAAAAAATCTGCAGCCACCTATGTGTTTTTAAGATGAAAGAGCAGATGGCTGACCTCACTGAATATGATAGGAATGGGTCTGTGACTCCGAGGAGAAGGGTTAGTCTCCCAAAGTGATGTCACACCCAAAAGCGTGTCCTTTGTCTGCCTCAGAGCTGTGGACTCACCAAGCTCACACTCCTCCAGGACTCTGAGGGCCACCCCTCCGGCCCAGTGTGGTCGGACTGGAGCGCCCCAAGCACAGGGTGGGACCAAAGTGGTGGTTCACACACACACAGCTGCGGACCTCCTTTTGCCCCGCCCTGTGTTTCCATTCCCTGCGCTTTCTGCTCTGTCTCCCTCTCCTGCTCCTCACAAGCAAGGAAGGTGGGTGATACGCTCAGATGTTCCTCTCCAGAGGTGGCTTTAGTTCAGGAAGGGAATGGGAGGAGCCATAGTTAATGGGCCCAGCAGGGCTGGCTGTGTTGATGAGTTTAGGCATCACACCTTTCCTACCTGGCACGATTCCTTAGCCCATCAGCAGAGGGCAGCAGATGCCAAACACAAGGGACCGAGAAGCTTGCCACCCTCCACCCCCACCCCAATCAGAAAAGTGCTGGGAGGAAAAATGGGTTTTTCATTCTTGTTTCTCCTGCCTTTAATGAACATGCTCCTTCTCCTTTCAGATACAGGATAATGACCCAGTGCTGGCAACATCAGCCTGAAGACAGGCCCCACTTCGCCATCATTCTGGAGAGGATCGAATACTGCACTCAGGTACAAACATTCCCCCCGCATCAGCATTCACACGGAGGAGGATTAAAGGTGGGAAACGTAAAATGCTATACAAAAGTTAAACCAGCTAGGAAGTGGGAGTTATGGTCAGGAGAATGAATGTTAATTATCTATAGAGTAAAATGATTGGTTTGCACATTTTATAATAAATACTAGTAACTGCCACTCCCTTTACCAGCAGGTGACACAGTGACAGACACGCAACAATAGTAAGGAATCGAGTCAGTTCACAAGTGTAACTAAATCCCCACTGGGCACCTAATGTTTCATGAAAGAAAACGGGAGCTTCAAAGAAGTATGGGAAACACGTGCCCTTGAACGGTTTCTAGTCTGGCTGATTAAATAATTAACAGCATATAATTGTTGAATTGTACGTCCAACGACACGCGTTAGTGGGATCAAAGGTGGGAGGGTCAGAACGGTCTGGAGAAACGCACCATCGCTGACATTGGTGCACCAGTCCAGCATCTGTAGTGCACGAGCCACTGCCCATGAGCTTCACTCAGTCCTCACTGGGGCACGCGAGGCAGCCCCATTTCCCAGACGAGGAGGGGAGGCTCCCAGCACCCCCGCTGCCCAGGGCAGAGCCCTCTTCGCCCCCATTCCCGGTGGACAGCTAGTCCTCCTACCTCCTCTGCACCCGCCCCCGCCCCACCACCTGCCCCCTGGGGTCAGTGGAGGTGATGTCCTTCCTGCCCTTGAAGGCAAACCCTCCACCCCCCCCCTGCACCGCCAGCTGCCCCTCGGGCTTTCATGCCGCAGTTACCTGTACTGTATCTGCTCTCTCTCTCGGCTCTTGTTCTGCTAGGATATGTTATTGTGGGAGTCAGTCACCCACTGTCTCCCTAAATCCCCTCCTCTGAGTTGTGACAAAAGACTTATCCATTTTCACTACAGGACAGTCATTTCCTGGCCTCATGAATGCATCCTCCAGGTGCACTGAGGAGGTGGACCCGCATTTATCTGGATGGACTTCATGTATCCAGGCATTTGGGGTTCTTTCAGAAACCTTGATATTCAGTGGTAGTTTATTACGTTAATACTAATGGAATATACCCCTTAAATACAGGGTCAGGCAACAGTAGGTTTACAGCTGTGAGTACCCAAGAGTTTATTCTCCTGCTGTTACGTATTGATTACCGTATTGGTTTCCATACAAACAATTGTAAACCCGCTTTTGCCCACCTTGTAGATACCCTTTGGAGTAACTTTCCTCCGAAGTACACACTGTCCCTCTAAAAACCAGGCAGTTCTATCGGGCACATGTGGAATCACTCACTATATAGACAGTAGTACTAATGGGAAAGGACCTGAAACAGAAGAGAGAAGCAGAGGCAGTTATCTTTTATTTCCAAACTCTTTCCTGACGAATACTTTTCTGTGAAACTGAAGCTGGGTGTGGGAGCGGTTTTCCTCATGGCGCCCCAGTGTCCCCGGGGCTTCACAAAGGGCCTGCTCAAACCCCGGCGAGTTGCAGAGCTGCAGCATTGCGACGGCTGGCGTGCGGTGAAGTGATGGTGCAATGCAGAAAAAGCTCTGATCTCGCAGAACCCATCCAAATGTGAAAGCCTTGAGGTAACGAGGAAGAGAACCACACGGAGCAGGCGTCTCCCCCCCCCTTCCCAGCCCCTGGTCCCCATCACACGCACACATATGCACACACACACACACATACCTGGGGTGAAACAGAGTTTTCACTTTAGTTGGAAAGATTTTATTGGGAAAAGACTGGAATAATTTTTCGGCCTCATTTGTAGTTGTTTTTAAGTCCACTAATCTGCAAGATTTGCCCAGTAGTGGTCGCTGCAGAGCCTCCCCCCCACCTCCCCGTGCCCTAGGTGGTCTGGTGCTGCCCGGCACACGCTGGACACAGGGCGTATCCTCGAGATCTTCAAGGATAAGGTGACTCCCCGTTGCTTTCTTATTCCCCAGTGCCCACAAACTCATGTATTCCCCGTCAACATGGGCCGTTTCCTCACCTGTAAAGTGTGGATGAGATCATCACTCAGGTATCTTCTGGACCCAGCATCCGCGTCTGTGATTGAGTTTTAATCCGTCCCTTTCTCCTACCTGTAGGATCCTGATGTGATCAACACCGCCCTGCCCATAGAATACGGCCCCCTCGTGGAAGAGGAGGAGAAAGTGCCCATGAGGCCCAAAGACCCCGAGGGAATCCCTCCTCTCCTCTCGGCTCCTGCCCCGGCTAAAGCGGAGGATGGGCAGGACCCCGGCGCCCCGCCGCCTCTGCCTTCCACGTCGTCCGCCGGCAAAGCCGCGAGGAAGCCCCCAGCGGCCGAGGCCTGCGTTCGCGTCTCTCGGGGGCCTGCGGCCGGAGGGGGACACGTGAACTTGGCGTTCTCGCAGTCCAACCTGCCGCCGGAGCCGCGCAAAGCGCAGCGATCCAGAAACAAGCCGACCAGCCTGTGGAACCCAACTTACGGCTCCTGGTTTGCAGAGAAGCCTGCGAAGAAGAACCACCCTCCGGCAACCAAGGACGAGCTCGCCAGGGGGCACCCGGGACAGCAGGGCGGCCGCGCGCAGCCCCCGCACGCTGTGGCCGGGGCCGGCAGGGGCCCCGTGGCCGCCCTGCTCCTGGAGCCCTCCTCGCTGACCGCCAGCATGAAGGACGTGCCCCTGTTCAGGCTGCGCCACTTCCCGTGTGGAAACGTCAACTACGGCTACCAGCAGCAGGGCCTGCCCCTGGAGGCCGCCGCGCCTGGAACCAGTCACTATGGGGACGCGGTTCTGAAGAACCCACCCGGGCCCTGAGCCCACGGCACTCGCTTCTGTTCCTTGGGAACCCTGAGCGGGGGGACAGGTCATGAACAGCTTCTCCCCAAACCAGACACCAAATGTCACTTTTCATTTTGTGCCAACTTGTTTTGAAGTGCCACATACAAAAAAAAAGTTGTATTCTCAAAATGCTTTCGAAAGGTTTTGAGCATGGGTTCACGCTATTCTTTCAAAAGAAGAAAGCATCGTCAAGAGGAGTGAGGAACGCAAGGCCCGGATGTGGCTGCGCAGGGTGGGCGTCCCCGGCCTCGCCTGCCTGCGCGCTGTGTGCGCGCCCCGCTCCGCCGCAGTCCAAACCCGCTGCTCGCGTATCTCACACCTGCGGTCACGGGCGCGTCCTTGCCCGGCCCACGTGGACCTGGACCACGCGAGGGGGGGGAGTGGAAAGAGAGGAGTCGTTTGTAATGAGTCAGCATGGGAAGAGACGTTCTCTACTCGGGAAGTTCATGCGTTAGATGACCATTTACACGCTTTCGGTGGTGCCGACCCACCCACGATCGTAGAAATGTGAACAGTGACAGTGGCATAGAGACACGTGTGTGTCCTCATCTAAAGGACGTGCAGACGTGCCAGGCACTCTGAGCAGATGCAGCCCCAGCAGGACCCAGAGATTCTAAAGCTCCCTGTTAATATATACCTCATGCCTTAAGAAAAGCTCCCGGACCAAAAGTGAACATCCGAGTGTGAGGTTTCCTACTGGATTGAAAACTGAAGATTTAAATTCATTAATGATTTTAAAACTTTCCACTAATTAAAGTAAGCTGATCATTTAAGAATAAAAATTTGAAGCAGCAGTGATACGTCGAAGCACAGAAACGTACCCCTTCAGAGGCATAATGTCAACCCATCTTAAGCCAAAACCTTCTCACAATTTCAGTCACGAAAGCCACCAGACCCAAGTCTCTCTTGCAGCAAAAGAGGGTCCCTGGCGCAGCAGGCCCTCGGCAGCCCTGCAGAGGGCGCTCCTGCTGCCCGCCCTTCCTCCCAGCGTTCGCCCCAACCCCGTGAGCCCAGTGCACACAGCACGAACACACGTTTGCTGGAATATACATGGCACAATTTGTACAGCTGTCGAATGCAGATTAAAACCAAGAATTTTTCCTCTGGGGGACAATGAGTAAAGGAATTAAGGGACATTTGGAATGCCGAGGTCAACGCTGACATGTTCTGAACTTGGCTGTCTCGGATGAAATTTATTTCCACAAAAACACATTGGGGATCAATTAAGCTTTACGTGTGCACTTGTGCAGTGATGCTTTACTTCACCAGGAGTTTTCACTACATTCTTTCTTTCTGCTTTGCCTCCACTCTCGCCCCGCTATAGCAAGCTATGCCAAAGCATCGCTTCGGGAGGAAAGTACTTGTTACTTGCCGGACTCTAAGCATCCCCAAGCAAAAGGACTGTATGTATATATACCTTTCCCCGACCTCCTCAGTCTCTCCAAAACCCGGAGCCTCACTGTGGATCTAGGAAAGCCCGTCTGCTCCAGACAACACCGGTGTCCACACCTCCTGTGCAGACGTCCTGTCCACGCGGAGGTTGGCCCCCTGCGGACGCTCTGGACCACGCCCCTCACCTGCCTGACGTAACAGACGCATCTCTAAATAGCGTATCCGGAAAGTTTGGGGTCATACCAGGCACAAAGTTAAACAGTCTAATTATATAAACATTAATCTAACTCATAAACCACCTGAAGGGGCCCAAGGACCACACTTTGAGAAACATTCTCCTAAAGTGCAATGACAGATGTCAAAAACCGAGGTGAATTTCATATGTGTAACACCAGTAACCGATTAAACAGGGAGCATGCTACATAGTTCAATAGCTGACTCTTCATTGTTATTAATGTGGGGGGCAGGGTGGACCGTATCCTTTTCTCTTCTTAAAAACTAGAAATAATCACATGTTCAGGTTGTGCCTTACCACAATTTCTGTGTCAAGTTCCAAAGACAGTCAAGTCTTAAAAGCCTGTGTACACAGATAAGCAAACCACTCCACACAGCGATACGATGCCCTCGAGACGTGTCATGCACCTCGCTGTGGCCTCGGTGTCACACAACCACACAACGCGCAGCTGGACCACTGTCCCCTCACTGCTGCTCCAGCTATTCACACAGATACCATGGCTCCTCCTCTTAACTACAGAAGTTCCACCTAAAATGCGAACAGGCGCAAGTGAAGTCTGCAGAAACCATGTTAATTAAACCATAAGCTAGCATAATTATTTCTACTCCTTGTCTACAAAGAAGCCCATCAAAAGTTCGCAACCCTTCCTTTGGGATAAAGGCAGTTTGTGAGGCAGTACCAGTTCATTAAGTGTCACACCTCAAAATTAGACCAAACCAAACTAGCAAGAGTAAGTTTTGTTTTTTTGAAGAGTACAATCTACTCAGCAGTCGAAGGACAGGCTTCTCCTCTCCCAGGTGGGGTGGGATCCTGGCTCTCCTCGGGTCACTGGGCCTGCCTGGACCTCCATGTGTCTCCGTCCACAAAACAAGGACAGTCACTGCCTTTCCCACTGGCCTTGGGGAGACTGAACTGTGGAGAGCACAAGCATCACCCCCCACAGAGCTCTCGAATTCCTGAGTGATCGGGGTGGGGTGGGGGTGGGGAAAACTGCAAGAGCCAGAATGTCTCTATGTGCCCCCAGACCCTTGACCACCACAGCTCAGTGGGGTTCCTCTCCCCACCCCACCCCCACGTCCCTGGCTCACGTGTGACTTCATCTGAAACTTGTTTAATGGTGGTAGCAAGCACCCTACTAGAACCAAGTCATTTTTGACTGAAAGGATGAATGTGAAACTTAGAATTAATTGTTATAAGTGAGCATCACAGAAAGGAAGATGTCCAATCAATCTAAGTAATCCTTTTTTCTTTTTTAAGTTTCTGGCACCTCCTTATAACACTTGGTAAACCCTATAGTGGTGAGGTATCATATAACCGCAGATGACTTTTATTCCATTAAGACATTCTACATGACCAGGCCATTTCAGCAGATTTTCCCCAGTACCAACAGGACTAAAATTCATGAGCTCTGTAAACCTAAAACAGACGCATATGAATTCAGACTACCCTGAATAACAGGCTCCCATGACAAGATTCATTAAATTGTCTGGAGTGCACTGTCAACCTGTCTTTAGCCGGTGAGTTTTTAAATGGGTCCCCAAAGAACATACAATTTGAGTTTGCTATTCCCATTGCAGCAGATGGCTCCCCCACACCCTGCGAACATACAAAACGAACACCAGGATTCCTGTCGTTCTCCACTAAATGCCCTAAAATGAGAGATAATTGCTGCGAACAAATAGTAAGTAAGGCTTCTCTGTTAAAATTCTATTTTCATTTGGCATCCGGAGTAGGTGTGTTTAATGTCTAAGGCACTGCTCACGTACAAAGCTATTTTTAGCTCTTGCTGAACGACTTTAAAACTCTGGAAAAGCTCCAAGTAAGAACAGACTGTTTCCTACATCCGAGAGGAGGGAGGAACAGGAACCCAAACCACCAAACCCAAGCGGTGACTTTCCCGTCTTCAGGGCTGAGCAAAGGCAAAACAAGCGTGTGACCCTCGCCTGTAAAAGACGGCACTCCCAGGTCACCTCAGAAACGCCGCAAGGACCCAGGTGTGTTTCCAGTGCCCTCCCACGTCCCCTTTTTTGACCCCTCTGCCTGACACTCTCCGGAGCTCTCCCTTCTCCTCCCTTCTCCTCCCTTCTCCATTGATCTAGGCTGACCTCCCGCCTCCTGAAAGCAGCTGTGGCACCAGGGCTAACATCAGCAGGTGCGTGTCAGCCAGTAGTAGTTGAAAGACCATCTCATTAAAGGAACTCTCATGAAGCCTTAGCAACGAATGTATTAGTGCTCCTTTGAATATTTACATTTTCAGAGAGCTCACTTTCCAAGGCCGATGAAGAGCACACTGAGAAAACATCAGATGAGTGCACTATTCCGGATGATTTAGCACTTGTCAATCACTTGACAAACGGCAAGCAGACAGAGCAGGACCCTGGTACGAGGCTGTGACTATCCATCTATGGGGCGGGACCAGAGTAGATTTACTCAGGTTGCTTAAACTCTTCCACTCTCACAACTGTGAGCGGTTTGGTCTCAAAGGCCCTTCCAACTCTGAAGTCTGAGGCTGTGTAAGACTTCCCCGTGTCAGGAAAATTCCCACCACCCGTGACGGGTGTGTGCACACACACGTGTGTGCATATATTCTTTTTCTTGACCTTGACTTTTAATTCATTTAGAGCCAAGGCCA